TAGCTCTAAAATTCGTAATCTGCTGGGACTATAATGTAATTATTGAAAAAAATATTTTTTTCGCACAGTGTAATAACCCCTTCATTCATTACTACAGGGTGAGATAAAAAAATGCAACAAAGTCAACCGCCATTATTTTTACATTTTATTTAAATTTTATTGAATGAAAGAAAATTGTAGAATAAGTTTAGATTTGTTCGGAGATGCGAGGAACCTCATCTTGTAACCACTCTTGGGTGGCGCGTGCTGAGTTCGATGGTGCTGAGTCCTGTTGGAATGTCCAAGGTCTGCGGCCAAAATGTTTGCGTGCCCAAGGCTTTAATACACCCTCCAGAATATTTTCGCGATAATATTCGGCATATATTCTAATGCCACGGTCGATTAATACGAGCGGAGGGCGACCATCGGCTGTTATGGGGGCCCACACCATCACCATGGCCGGCGCTTGAGTTCTGGTGGCCATTTTCAGAAGATGCATATTTTCAGCTGACCTCTTTGGCAAGTAAACACGATCATTTTGTTGTTGTTGTTTACAAACTGCTGGACAACGAATATTTTCTCATCGGAGACGGAGAAAACCAAATTTGACAGTTCAAAACTTTTGGCCAAGCGAAGCAACTCTTTAGTTCTTTTGAGTCTATTTTCTTTCTGTTCGGGGTGTAGGTTCTTGCACTTTTTGGAATTTTAATGGCTTTACCCCGAGCTCTTTTTTCGATATTTGCCGAATGGAATATTGCGATGTCTTCAGCTCACGAGCCATTTTTCGGCCACTGCGACGCGGGTTTCAATCAAGTCGCTTCTTTACTTTTCGAACCATTTCTGCTGGGGTTACTATTTTCTTCCGTCCACTTCGTTGGCGTGACGGTAACGAGCGATGGTACGAGACACAAAAGATTTATTCACATTTAAATGCTGGAGTGCTCTAACGATAGCCATTTGTGGTTTTCCAGCCAAATATTAAGAGATCTCACTATCACGCTTGAATTCCATCACGAATAACTTTTTTTTCTGGAAAATGTTCACCAAAATGCTTTTGTATGCCTGTAAACAATATAATGAGCTTTCACTGGAATAATTTTAACAGCTGTCGGACGAGTGGCTTAGAAATGACAGCTGTCTGAATTTGGTTGCAGTTTTTTCATCTCTTTTAAAATAATTTCTGGGGAGAATATCCCAGACAAAAAACAAGGGAACTGATGAGGATTGGTGGCTCTTTCCGAAACCTAGGTATTCCCTGCCTTACCTCCTGGTAAACATTACCATTGTTCTCCACTAATAAACAAATGTTGTTATTATTTTTTTATTTTGTTTCATTTATTTATTTTGTTTTATTTTTTTTGTTTCAAAACATAAAATCGCATCATCAAATGCTGTGTGTCGTCTTTAATAAGCGATTAGCTTCATTAATTAATCTAGTCATTCATGTTTTCGTATTGCGCTAATTTTTTTATCATCAAACTTGTTCCGCATAAGAAGAGCAAAAAACGGTGCTTATTTTTCCAAAATATTTTTTATTTCACCGTTATGCGTATGTATGGTATTTTTTTCAGTAGCTTATTTAAATCGAAATTATTTTCAAATGTCACATCAACATAAAATAAATGATTAGTTTATGCGATTTTCGATCAAAAAAAAAAAATAAAAAAAATATTTGATTAAAAAAACTATAATGCTTTCTTAATATGACATATATTCCACTATGGAGGAGAAGTCGCTTCGAAGATTTTCTTAAAAGTTTACTGTGAGGCAAATTTTTTTCCCAAAAGTTCCTGTACCCATTTTATGAAAGTTGACTAAACATGTAAAACGTGTATAGGTGTTTTGAAAATTTGCATCGTAATGTTAGGTAGAGAAGGAGAGCTTGCCCCCACCCCTTCTTGTGCAACATATAAAAATAATTATGGGAAATAAAGCAGATAAAAAATATGACACGTGGATCGGAGTTTTGAAAGTTTACAAAGCTAAGACAACTTAAATAGTAGGGGCAAGATCCACTCCTCTTCAATCCTTTTGAAAATTTTTTGGATTAAGATTCCATGGAATCCGTCGATTTTGGGTATATAGTATCTTCGGCAATATTTCAGATAAAAATATGGCGAGTCAACAAAGGGGTCGTTTTGTTCCTTTTTTAAAATATGGTTAATAATTCCCTTTAACCGGGATCGTAGCAAGTTAAAATATTCTAGAAAATTATTTATCATAAAATTGTACTTTGAGTCCCAGAAAACGGCAAAAGTCTTAGTCTTACCTAAACACTAGATATTAATAAATATTAAAGAGTCATTTTAGGGTTAAAGCCATACTTTGCGAATATGCAAATATCCTCAAGAAAGCATCATATTAGAAGGATGACGTCAAAGACAAAAATATTCTTCATCAAATTTCACTATAAGTTACTTAAGAAATTAAATCTATATTTTTATTGTGGATCAAAAAAATATTTACATCACTTTTCTCAAAAATCTAGAAAATATTTCTATATTTATATCATAAATATTTGTTAATCAAAACCTTGTATATATTTGAAAAATTAAGCACTTTTTCCAAATGTGCTGCAAATTTCCTCAACATTTCAGTGTACAACAGCTAATCTGGATTGTAAAAAATTCCAAGTGAACTTAATAGAACTCGTGTGTAGAAACCCCAAAGGAATTTCGGGTTGTTAAGACTTTTATTTTGTTCTGACTATAACGAAGGGACTCTTATATTTTGACATATATTTCGCAACATTTAATGTAGAGCTTTGGTAGTGATCTTTGAATTACTTCCGGAATTATTGGTACAGAAAATGGGCTGATATGCCCACTTTTTGCAAAAGCCCCGATTAAGCATAAATCCGATTGCAAGTACTTTTTAAATTTTGGCCATGTTTTCTATTAAATGTCGTGACATTTTGTCATTTTGAGATCTTATTTTGTTGAAACGCTATTTATACATACCTTTTGGTACCGACCTTAGTTTTGGTCATATTTTCCAGTCGATTTGTATGAAAACAAGTAAAATAGTATCAGTCGGCTTTTCCGACAGATCTGTACCTCCAGTATTGTATTTTGATTATTCAAACTCTTCATTCTTTATGCGTGAGGTTCGTAAGCCGTTGGCCAATATTGACCAATTCGAATTAAGACTGATATAAATATTAAAATGTGCCAGACTAGCTCCTAAACTTTATATAAAATATGTGAAAAATTTTGGAAAATGCGGAAATATAAGTGAGATGACCTATATATATGCAGAAAAAAATATTGGTATGTGCAAAATTTCAAGGAAATCGAAAATTTATATCCAATTTTATGCGATATCATTAATTCCGATAAATTACATATTCAGATCAGATTTCTGGTTAAGAGAAATATTTAGATATAGCAAGTTGTAATAAAGCTGACTTGTTTCACAGATAAAAGTATTGAAAACGGTGACCCTTTGCAGATGAGGTACTGGAAGTGGTTCACAGATATATTTCATCTTCACAACAGGTCTTACATAAAAAAACATTTGGATGTGTGAATTTTGAAGAAATTTGGATGCTTATGTCGTTTTCTTTGAGCGTTTTGTTTTTTAAAAATCTTGAACCCTATGTGGGGGAGGTACCAGAAGAAATGGTACGATCCGCACCACCTTTATAATCTATGGAAATATTGAGATGAACCATGTCTTAATGAAATCGGATGTTAATTTCGCGTTTTATGAGCTTCATGGTTACTCAAAAATTTGACCCTTTATGGGGAGGTACCAGAAAAGAATAAGCCGATATATCCCATTTTAATCATTTAATTAATAAAAATATTGTGATTTGTGTAATTTGAAGAGAACCGGATGCTTATATCGGATTTTATGATCGCTTGGTTATTCAAAACTTCGACCCTTTGTGGGGCAGGTACCATGGTTCGAGGAAGGCATGGTTCGATCTCTCCCATCTTTCTCTTGAGATGTATAAAGACGGAATGGAATTGGATGCCAATTTCGTGTTTTATGAGCTTCATGTATATTACAAATTTTGACCCCCGTGTGGAGGAGGTACCAGGAGGAGTGGACCGATATATTCCATCTTCACACCAGACATTGGGTTAATAAAAATATTGTGATGTGTTTAATTTGAAGACAATCGGACACTAACATCACATCACTAATTATTCAAAATTTTGACCCTTTGTGGGGAAGGTAATTGATGGAGTGGACCGATATTGTTCATTTTCGCACCTGACCTACCACTGATGTAAATTTTAGGATTCGCAAAGTTGGAGCATAATCGGATTATCCTTTCGTTTTCAGTGCAGTAAATTATTTTCTTTGAAAATATTGACATTTCGTGTGGGAGGTACCAGAAGGAGTGTACCGATATTGCCCATCTCCGAACTCGATCTAAGTTTGACAATAATATAACAATGCACCAAGTTTGGATCAAATCGGATACTCCCTTCGTCTATGCATATGAGACTATTTACAGGTCGTCTTTACATAAGAGGCTTTCTATAGGTCCCTTCCAGGGAAAAATCTTTTATAATCTTCTATGCATAGACGACCCTCAACAGGTCCTCCCAACTGTACAAATAAGATTTCAACAGGACTTCTTTATATAGGAAGAGCATGTCTTGTCAACTTCTTCCATACAGTGGAGACTATCTACAGTACGTCTTTATATAAAAGGACTTCTATAGGTCCCTTATATATAGAAGGCCTTTGTGGATTTTCTATATGCAATTTTCCGATTTTTCTATAATAAAATTAAAAAAAAAATCGCTTTTAAATTTGTCGTCTTCTTTTTCGAAGACCTTGAAAGTTAGGAATAAAAGACACTTACCCTAATTAGAAGACATTCTCAAAGTCATACACATATAGACCACTTTCGAAAATATCTTCTCTATAGAGAAGTCTTTCTTCTCTCTTTTATCTCTCCATCGTCAAATTATTTTCCTCTCTTCTGAAATGTTGGCCAAAACATTTCTCAACTCCAAAATTTGTTGTCATCTTCATTTTATATTTTGTAGTTGTATATTTCTTCTTGTTTGTTTTTGTATATTTCGCAAAATAATTTAAAAGTATCTAACGACTACAACAACACTAAAATTAATAAATTAATAATAATAAAAAAATTAAAAAAAAATATTATTGTACAAATCAAAATCAAGAAAAAAATTATGAACACAATTCGATACGATTAATTACATCGTTTTGTGCGATTTTTATCTAAGTCCTTTGGAGTCGCTTGACTACCTGGGTTTGCCTATTGAACTATTTGTCATAGAACCAAACAAATTCGTACTCCTTCAAATTGTTCTCCTTCGGCAGATTATCCTTGTCGGTTCGTTTGCGCCAGTTTACGCGCGGCTGGTAGCCATTTTCATTAGCCACATACTCGATGGTGCGCTCAACGTCGTCATCGCCAATGGCAAAGTAATTGCCCTCTTTGTTGCCGTTACGTTTGCCAGTCTCCTCGTGACCGTGATAGTCGAGTAGGTATTTGAAGTGATATAAATCACCATCACCGCCGCCGCCGACGTTGGCAGAGCTGCCACTGCCGGAGCCAGCGCCGCCTCGTGGGCCAGCAGAAGAGCCTGTCGTTTTGGGGTTGAAATTGGCATTGACTCCTTTGCCCGGGGCCAGGGAATTGCCACCACTTCCAGTTGGTGTGCCCGCTTTTGAGGGTGTTTTAGCAGCACTTTCAATTGGATTCTTAACCGAGGGCGCTGGGGTATTGAAAATTATAGCAAATTTTAGTAGAAAACATAATGCCCTAAAATATCCTTTTATGGCAAAACTTACCACCGGGTGGTTTCACCACCACTCCCTTGCCACCCATGGCAGCTGGCAATACCTTGTTCACAATCAAATCCATAATGTCCTTTTCACTGGTTGGTGTCTTGGCTAGTTTGGTATTTTTATCTGTGGAAATAAATTTGAAAATTTGTCAATATCCTACAAGTCCTTTTCTTGAAGGTTTAAAGCAAAACTACTTGAAAGGTTTGTGCCGGTGCTAAGAATAGGAGTTAATTGGGTGGTGCTAGGTATGGCCGCAACTTTACGCACAACTGTTGTGGCAGCCACAGGATTTGAGGATGGAAGGATTTTAGCAACTTGTGTTGGTGTTTTCTTCTGCTGGGGTTTGGAATTGGTTGGTGTATCGGGTTTTGGTATTACATTGGGTGTAATGGATTTACTGAGTCCTGTGGATTTTGTTTGAGTTGTTGTTGGTTTTGTTTTTGGTGTATTGGATTGTGTAGGTCCTTTTGAAGGTTTGGTTTGTGTAGTTGCTATTTTCGTTTTTGTTGTTGGTTTTGTGAATTCTGTCGTCTTAACGTGTGGAGTTGGTGGAACTTTGGCTTGTGTCTGTGTTACTTTTGTTGGTGTGGTAGGTTTTGCGAGTCCTGTAAAAGGAAAAAGGGGTGTGTGGGAGGATGTGTAAGAAATTGTGAAGTTTAATTCTGTTTTGTGGAAGTTGAGGCATTTGGTTTGTGTATAGACTACACATAATATTAGAGTCATATGTAAATTGACTTTTTTGTATTTATATTGTATATTTCGAAGCATACTTTTAGGCGATCACAAAAAACATATTAAAAAACTGGAATAAAACAAGTTATAAAGTATCAGGCGCTATTGTTGACAGATGTAAACCCTCAGCCATGGTAGAAGAATATAGGTAGACGTATCGACACAGCTGCTGGGACAATGAAGTGTCAAACCAATTTTGGAATGGAAAATGTTGAATGAAAAATTATTTAAATTTGTAAAAATTGTTGAAAAACGGGAATCATAATAACTTCCGAGTGACGTCGTATAAGAAAACATATAAAAATCTACTTATACAGGTATATTATATATACCTGTATTTTTCTACCATGCCCTCAGCCAATGTTCGATTCTTTAAATATTTTTAGATCCCTATTATGATAATTCAAATTTTTCACCCTCCATGGTGTAGGTTCCGAAGGAATGGACCAATATTGTCCATTTCCTATCCTACCTAAATAAATATAATATAATTATTGTGACGTGTCAGGTTTGGACTATATTGGTTACTTCCTTCACTTTATATGAGATATATGATATATAAATAGATATTCAGGATTTTGGCCCTCTGTGGGGGAGGTGCCAGAAGGAGTACCCCAATATATACCATCTTTACAGCAGATCTTTTGATAGTAGATGTTTTGAAATATCTGAAATTTGGAGAGAATCAGATGCTTATTTCTCGTTTTAAGAGCTCTATGGCTATTCCAAATTGTGACCCTTTGTAAGGGAGGTACCAGAAGGAGTGGACCGATATAACCCATATTCACAAACATTTTTTGTGTTAGTAGAAATAATGGGATGTGTGAAATATGAAGAGAATCGGATGCTTATTTCGGATTACAGGGTTGCCCATATTCGACGGACCCATCTGGCAACGCCATAACTTTTGACAGAGATGTCACATCGCTTAATGACATACCGCGTTTGAAGCGTCAGTCCAAGCAGATTTTTACCAGGAACCAATACACGCCACGCGAGCGCTCTGAAATAGTTGAAATTTACATTCAACAGAAGAAGTCAATTGTGAAAACTCTAAGTGCTTTTAAAACATTAAAAAATGTGAGAAGAGCGCCTTCTAAGAACACCATTAAGCGTTTATACGAAAAATTTTCGACTGGTAAGGCTCTTTCTAATCCGAAGAGGCCATATAAAAGTCGACCAAGGCGATCGGCCGAGAATATCGCTGCCGTATGAGCCAGTGTTGAGAGGTCCCCAAGAACATCCCAAAAACGCCGTTCTCAGCAGTTGGGCATGACTCGGTCCACTTTACAACGGTTTATTCGCATTGATTTACATTTGTTCCCGTACAAAATTCAATTGACGCAAAGAATGTTGCCTGCGGACAAGCCTCGTCGATTGGAATGGGTCCAAAGAGTCATCGAATTGGCTGAAAAAAAACATGGGTCCGTCGAATAGGGGCAACCCTGTATATAATCTTTTTTATTATTCAAAATCTTGACCCTTTGTGGGGGAGGTACCCGAAGGTGTGGACCGACACATAACACCTTCATACCATAGCTGGTATACTTATCCTTTCTCTTTCTGTGCATTACATTATTTTCTTCTTTGAAAATGTTAACATTTGGTTGGGGATATACCAGAAGGAGTGGCGCGATATTGCCCATCTCCTAACCCGATCTATGTTTGATATAAATATTACGATGTACGAAAATTGGATCAAATCGAATACTCCCTTCGAGAGTTATCGTGAGCACCAGCCAGACAGACAGACGGACGGATGGACATCCCTAGATCGACACCAAATGGCCTGAACGGATTTGGTCCTAAGAGATCTAGGGTCTAAAACAGTTATTTCGATGACGTTTTGGCGGTATCAAATTATATATACCCTTTCTAGCCATATGGCTGAGAGTATAACAAGTAAAAAAACATTAAGTTCGACCGGGCCAAACTTTTAATACCCTCCACCTAAGGGTAATGGAAACATTAGAAACAATTGTGACCCACTAATACCAAATTTTAGACATATTCGTGAGAAAATGTGGCAAAAATCATCAAAACACTGAATATCGGGAGGTACCGCTATATATAGAGCTATACAAAAAAAAGACGACCTATACATGCAATGTTTCGCCATTCGAACTAGGACCCACTATGACCTACAAATACCAATTTTAAAACAAATCGGTGAAGAAATGTGGCAACAATTATCAAAATACCGAATATCGGGAGGTACCGTTATATGGGGGCTATACCAAATCGTGGACCTATACATACAATGTTTCGCCATACGAAGCTAGAACCCATTATGACCTACAAATACCAATTTTCAAACAAATCAGTGAAAAAATGTGGCAACAATTATCAAAATACCGAATATCGGGAGGTACCGTTATATGGGGGCTATACCAAAACGTGGACCTATACATACAATGTTTTGCCACCAAAGCTAGAACCCATTATGACCTACAAATACCAAATTTCAGACAAATCCGTGAAAAAATGTGGCAAAAATAATCAAAATACCGAATAACGGGAGGTACCGTTATATGGGGATTATACCAAAACGTGGACCGATATATCTCATTTTAAATACCAACCATCCTAGACACAATACAAATTATTCTGCTAAATTTTGACACTCTACTTCATATAATGTGGCCTGTATCGTGATTTTAACAGACAGGCAGACCGACAGTCGGACAGACAGACATAGGGACATTGTTAAGTCGGCTTAGAATTTTATGCTGATTATGAATATATATACATTATGGGGTCTACGACGAATATTTAGGGATATTACAAACGGAATGACAAATTTAATATACCCTCCTTTCCAAGGTGGAGGGTAAAACAAATACGATTTAGCCCTGTCCGCATGTCCGTTTGTTCATATGTCCATTTGTTGTAATAACGCTAGAGTCAAAACGAATAAAAACAGGAAGCTAAAATATTACACAGATCAGTCTTTTCTCTGCAGGCAGATCAAGTTCGATGATGGGATATATCGGTCCACGATATTATATAGCCCCCGATATTCGGTATTTTGATGATGATATGTAGAGAAATTATTCACCGTAGTTCTTTCAAATTTCGTTTATAGAATTCGCAATTGGTACTACAGCCCCTGACAGAGAATTGTCCATGCAGACTCACGTTCTCGTATAGCCAGCTTCCATATATCGGTACCTCCCTATATTCTGTATTTTGATGATATTAGCGACATTATTCACCGGAATTGTTTCAAATTTGGTATTTAAAGTTCGTAATGGATACTACAGCCTAAGACAGAAAATTGTCTGTGCGGGTCCAAGTTTTAGTATTGCCCCCATATAACAATACCTCCCGATATTCGGTGTTCTGATGATTTTAGCAACACTATTCACCGGAATTGTTTCAAATTTGGTATTTGAAGTTCGTAATAGATACTTCCGCATAAAACAGAAAATGGGCCATGTAGGTCCACGTCTTCGTATAGCCCCCATATACCATACCCCCCGATATTCGGTATTTTGATGATTTTAGCGACATTATTTACCGGAATCGTTTCAAAGTTGGCATTTGAAGTTCGTAATAGATGCTGCAGTATAAAACAGAAAATGGGCCATGTAGGTCCACGTCTTCGTATAGCCCCCATATACCATACCTCCCGATATTCGGTATTTTGATGATTTTAGCGACATTATTTACCGGGATTGTTTAAAATTTCGCATGTGAAGTTCGTAATGGATACTTCAGCCCATGCCAGAAAATAGTCTGTGCAGGTCCACGTCTTCGTATAGCCCCCATATAACGGTACCCCCTATATTCGGTGTTTTCATGATTTTAGCTACATTATAAACAGATTTTTCTTCAAGTTTCGCATTTAAATATTGTAACAACTTATGACAGAAGTTGCCTATGCAGGTCTACGTCGTCGCATAGGCATTCGGTATTTTTAAGATTTTAACAGAATTTTAAACGGATTTTTTTTTTTTTTGGAAATTGCCAAATTTGTACTAAATGGTGGAGGGTATTAAAAGTTCGGCCCGGCCGAACTTACAAATTTTTTACTTGTTTTACTTATTAAATGTAATTTACGCTTCATGTTTTAAAATATTTCTTTTTAGTTGAAAACAAAATATGGCAGCGCCAAAAATTATGCTTTAAAAATCCTAACTATAAAGGTGGTCAAAATCACTTTACATATGACACCAACATGGTGTATAAACTAGCTTAAATTCAAAATATTTTCTCGTCAAAAAAACAGGCCAAAAAAAAAAAAAATTTTTAAATTTTCTAATAAATTTTTTTAGATTTTAGTTTCTTTCCCGTAGAAATATTTTCAACAAATAATGTAAAAATTAAAAAAAAATTGACTTGAATTTTTTTGAAGTTTGTTAATGCTCTCTAATTAATATAACTTCAATTATAATTATTTCCATGTAGTGAGAAAATTATGAAAAAAATATTACCTGTTACACTGGGCTTTGCTCCTGCTGTTGTTTTTGTACCGCTAGCCTTATCTGGGCTTGAGTTGGGCAACTCTTTCGATAACGTCCGAATTCCAGTCTTTGGCGTCTCTCCGGATCCTTTCGGTTTGGCTGGTTCCTTTTTACCATTCGATAAGAAACAACCGGAGCACGCTTCATTGTAGAAATTATGATGTGGCAAGTCTTCTTTGGGTTTTGCCGTCGTAGTGCTGGGTTTGGGTTTAGGCTTCACGGTTATGTCGACAGTTTCTGAAGAGAATCGCAATTAATTATTACAAAATGCGGAATAAATTAACAAATCTATAGAGATGGAGTTTTTCTGGAATTTTGATATAAATTTTATTCTATCCATTTTCAAATTTTCCCAGAATCGGAGAATTTTGAATTTTGATATTTTTTAACTCTGAACTCGCGAATTTCTCCCAGTTCAACATAGGTTCAATATTTGGTGATACTCAATTTTTGAACGGACAATAACCCCATTATATTTTGCTATTTGGATTTTGTTTTTACATCTAGGTCGACCCGGTCTATCTTAACGTCTCTTTTCTTCCTCACCTTCTATTTAATTGCTTGTACTTACTTGGTGGCGACTCATAAGGATAATTTTTCATGGCCAAGATGCGGAATCGGCCCTGTTCATCGGTGGCATAGACAGTCACATGGTAGATGCCATCGGCAGTTATGAAACCAAATTCTCCCATAACAATGCCCTTTTCATCTGTAAAAAAGCGAAAAAGCGAAAAAAAATCCATAAAACATGAATATTAAAAATAAGAATTTATGAAATGTTTGAAACACATGTCCATTATGATTTTTTTAATTTTGCAACAAAAAAAAAAAAAAAAAACTATAAATTTCATAACATTTGTATTCAAAATAAAAACAAAAATACATAAATTTCTCTTTGGACATTAACAAACTTAACTAGATAGACCTGATTTAATTTTTAAATGGCCACTAATTGCCATGGAGACGATGCTTAAGAAATGTTTAAATTAGGTGAGATATTAGAGGTACGAACAACATGTGTGTGTGTGTGTGCGTGTTCTAGGTGGTTATATGTTGCTTCAGAATAGATTTTTTTTGATACCAATTCTAGTTTTACGATTATAAAACTTTATTCCATATCGCATGGTAATCATTTATGAATAATTCTAACAGTTTCATTTGAATTCTCCGTTATACGCTTTGAATATGTTTGAATTTAAATACATGGTACGATATTTAAATATCCACTTGTTATGATTTTGATTGGAGATTATGTCTTTTTATTTGAAAATCATTTTATCACGAAATTATGTATTCATAAAATTGTCATAAAACTAGCATAATATTTAATTTATTGACATTTTCTTAATGAAATTGTATAATAAAATATTATGGATTCGATTATTATGTTTGTCTGGAATCATAAAATAAATACTTTTTTTTTGATTTTTTTTAACATAACTAGATTAGGTTTGTTTGAGCGGTAGCTCTATACAAAAAAAAAAAAACGTATATATATATATATATATATATATATATATATATATATATATATATATATATATATATACGATAGCTTAGGTATTACAAAAAATAAAAAAATATCATAATTAATTTTCTTCAAAATTTTTTCGCATAAAAATATATTTATTTATAAATATTATATAAATATTATATATATATATATATATATATATATATATATATATATATATATATATATATATATATATATATATATATATATATATATATATATATATATATATATATATATATCTATATATATATATATATATATATATATATATATATATATATATATATATATATATATATATATATATATATATATATATATATATATATAGATCAGGAGTGAAAATTATCAAAATATTGAAATATTATTATATTATATTATTTTTTAAAAAAAAAAACTAAAAGTTTATTTAAAAAACAATTAACAAAGGCTATAGCCGTGCGGGCCGACCATGTGATACTCTACAACACTACAATATTTTAGAAGTCCCCTTATGTCCAAATCCATTTTGGAAGGTTTTGCTTTTGAAATTATGTCATGGAACAATGGCATTTATTACCCTTAGCAATTTGACCAGGGACATTTGTCCAATACTTACGCACTCCGTCGTGCTGTTAGTTGTGGCGATCCATTTTACAGCTAAATAATATTTAATGGTCATCCAAAATGCTAAAGTTCTTCCCTGTCCTTAACTTCAATTGTGTGACCGTTTTTCTAAATATTTTGCGATTTTAAATTCGGACTTGTATTGCCCATTTGATATATGGGAGCTATATTCAAAGCTGAACCGATCTTCATAAAATTTGGCAAAGATATTTCTGAGCTGTACTTCATATATTTCCCTGAATATCGTTGTTACGGAGTGCATATTACGGCTGTGGGTAACAAATATAGCAAATCGGATGAACAATATATATAAGGGAGCTAAAGCTATATCTAAACCGATTTGAACCAAATTTGATATACTAGCTTCTAGGATCAATTAGGTCGTAAGTGCCAAATTTCATCCCATTTGGGCAAATATTAGACGTTTGGTGCACAATAAAAGGTAAATCGGACGAAGTTATATATGGGAGCTATATCCAAATCGGAACCGATCTCGATAAAATTTAGCAAAGGTATTTCTGAGCTGTATTTGATATATTTCCCCAAATATTGTTGTTACAAAGTGCATATTACGGCTGCGGAGGACTAAAATAACAAATCGGATGAACAATATATATAGGGGCTATAGCTATATCTCAACCGATTTCGATCAAATTTGGCATACTTATTTTTAGGCCTAATTTGGTTGTATGTGCAAAATTCCACACTATTCGGGTTGATATTACACGTTTGGTGCACAATAAAAAGCAAATCGGACGAAGATATATATGGGAGCTATATCTAAACTTTGACCGATTACTTCCAATTTCAATAGGGTTAGTCCTTGGGTCAAACAAATGATTTGTGCAAAATTTCATCTGGATCGGGAAATAAATGCGAACTGTACTTTGTTCACAAAAATACATGGACAGACGGACGGACAATCGACTCAGATTGTGATTCTATGCAGATCATCAGAAGAACTGTTATAAAGAAATGCACCAAGACACAATACCCTGACCACCTTGTGGTGCAGATTTCTGAAAAATTTCCACAAAATTATTTGAGAATATAATTTTTTTTAATTATTATAAAATTGAAAATTGAAAAATCGCTCAAAAAAGTATTTAAAAAAATCCGCAATTATGAAAATTCAGTAAGAAATTTATTTCAAAATATGGAAAACAACTAAAATTTATTTTAACAATTCTCGATTTGGCCAAGTCTCCATTAATTTATTTTCAAAATTAGCAATTTTAAAAATCTCTCAAAAAATTGAAAATGGAATGCGAAAAATCTCACGATTTCATTATACTACAAATTATACAATAGTTGTATAAAAAATCCAATGAATTATGAAGATAGAGCTAAATATTGAAACCACGTGCATCGTCGTTTGGAAAGTTTTCATCGCAAAGTAATCTAAATACAGCCGGTAAGTTCACACCCCACATTTTTGAAATTAATTTTCGCATCATGGAATCGACAATACTACTGATAACAACACAAGGATTATTATTTCAACCTTCACCAAAAGTGGTCCCCTAAACCTGGGTCGTAGAAAGTCGAAATATTTTATAAAATAATTTGACATAAAAATTTATTATAAGTCCCAGATTACATTAAAATATAAAACTTATATAAACGCCAGGGCAAGTAATTTTATGCAAACTTTTCGTACAAAGCATGATTTTAGAAGGATTTGCATTTTCACTGCTAATTTAACCCTGTTCCACATTAAGTCAAAATCTCCCACTTTTAGAGAAGGGAGGAAGTATTCCAGAGAACATTTAATTGCGAGTCTCCGAGCAAAAAAATAAAAGTGCCTTAATTCGGCCGGCACGAACTTTTAATACCCTCCACCATTTGGAAGGAACCTGAAACAATGTGATGTGAGGCATCGTTACATGGGGTCCATACAAAGACGTGGACTTGTACACGCAATTTTTAGTCATAGGCTGTAGTACCCATTATGAACTTTAAATCCCAAATTTGAAACAATTCCGGTCTATAATGTTTCTAAAATCATCAACAAACCGAATTTTGAGAGGTACCGTTGTATGGGGGCTTTAAGAAAACCACAGACAGATAGGAATCGCTAAATGGACTCAAAATTTTACGTTGATCTAGAACTTTGTTGGGTCTGACATGACTATTTCGAGGAGTTGCAAACGGAATGACAAAGTTAATATACCCCGCATAGTATGGTGAAGGGTGTAGTAAGCCATCATTGATAGTTAACCGAAGATGTTAAGAAACCAAAATTTGGATTTGCGATAGTGCTTCAAAAAATATGTAATGCTAAGTTCACAATTATGAATAGTTAGCGTTTATGGCCCGAAAATACTATGCTATATTATATTCTGAAATAATTTAGTTAAAATTCAACATTTAAAGGACTGATAGTACATCCAAGTTTAAGGATGACTATATTCCCTCAAATAATTTTCTTAAAAATTAATTTTGAAAAAAATTTCAAAATCCCTTGATAGTCCCCAAAAATACTTTCGAAAATTCGATGTTTTGGATAGTCCTACAAGCTCTTTTCTCGAAGGTGTTATGATATGAAAGAGTTGAAACTTTTTGGATTATTTTTTTTTAGGATTCTTGAAAAATTATGTTTTTTTTTTTTTTTGTTAAATAAATTTTTCAAGAACTTCCGTTTTTATCTTATAACACTTTGTGTTGGTGGTATTATAATTTGGATTGGACCAAAAAGTTTATTGCGACTAGTAATATCTAGACCAACTATGGTATATATCAATCTTCCTATATCGCCGAGCTAAGTTGATCTAGCTATGTGGTCATCGAATAATGTTTAAAGGGTGAAACGGTGTAAAAATACCAAAATGTTTCAGAGCATTTTGGGTCGATCTAGCGATGTCCGTCCGTCCGTCCATCCTTCTGTCTATCTGGCTGGCTGGCGCGCACGATAACTCTCGAAGGGAATATCCGATTTGGTAAAAACTTGGTACATCGTAATATTTTTTGTCAAACTCTGATAGAGTTCGGAGATGGGTCCACTCCGCCTGGTACCTCCCCCACAAAAGGTGGAAATTTTCAAAAAATATATTTTTTGCAAAGAAAGAGAAAAGATAATCCAATTTTGCTCCAACTTTGCAAATCCTAATATTTGCGTCAGTGCTAGGTCAGGTGCGATAATGATCAATATCGGTCCACTCTATCAAGTGACTCTCCCACAAAGGGTCAACATTTTGAACTACTCTTATGAAATGTTATGTAAGTGTCCGATTGCCTTCAAACTCCACACATCCCAATAATTTTATTAACCCAAAGTCTGGTGCGAAGATGGAATATAGCGGTCAACTCCTCCCTTCAAAAATTTTGAACGCGCATGAAGCTCATAAAACACGAAATTAACATCTGATTCCATTCAGACTTGGTGCATTTGAATATTTCCATTGATACAAGATCTGTTATAAAGATGGTATTGATCGAACTATTTCTTCTGGTACCTCCCCCACAAAGGGTCAAAATTTTGAGTAAAAAAAACGATCATAAAATACGAAATAAGCATCCGGTTCTCTTCAAATTACACACATCACAATATTTTTATTAGTCCAAGGACTGCTGTGAAGATGAAA